ATAAAAAAAAAGCTTTGAATACGACTGCCATACTAGAACTAGAACGGCGAGGACAGCTTTCCGTGTAAACTCTGTGTGTGGTTTCCACGATCTACTGCAGAACGACAAAAACAAATTGCGACCTATGAAAACACATGGGCCTGAATTGACCAGACGTTATCCAAAAGTAGATATAAGTTTATATATAGATATAATCTCTTTGGTAGTTTAATGCCTCTGCTATTTTTTAAAGCCTCAGTGGAATCTACTATCAATTATTAGCGAAAATGATACGCAAATTCCAAATTAAGCAGCCAAGATCAGTAAACAGGGCTAAACCACTCCTGATATACGTGACCTCTTCTCCCTACACTATCGCAGGAATCGCGATGGAAAAAAGTGGAGACCCCCCGGGCAACCATTATACTTGGTAAACGTTGTTCCCACAAATTAACGCTTTCTCAGAGTTTCAATTTCTCAATCGAGAAACCACCGTTCAATGTTTAAAATGACGTTGACGTTGCCCTTGCAGACTCCTATGTTCCACGTGGACTGGATAAACTATCCCTTAAATGGTAGACAGTTGTATACAATAATGATCCATATTTCGACTGAAAATAGAAGAACTTTATGTAAACGAAACAAGAACAGCTTGAGAAAGATTTTATACCGAGCGACTTATAATATATACATTGTATTTTCCAACCCCACTGAGTCATTTCCGCATGTGTACAGTATGTCAATCGGATATATAGAATGCAATTTAGTGATACGCTGTACTACAAATACCAAGTAGTAATGATAAAGTAATAATTATTATGCTCAAACTCTCGCAAATTTCTACGAGCATTTACCTATAAAAGATGGTCCTTAAAGAAAAAAATCCCTGCTTATCGTTAATGTGGCAAAGTGTTAGCTGACTGTTACAGATATCTGTCCTATTGCTGTCTGTATTTCATATCATTGAAGAGCTTATTACCTATTGATGCGGTAATTTACACTGTCCTTCCTGTTTGCTAGTAATTATGCAATAGCAACGTACGGGTTCTATGTATACTCGTTCCAAGCAGCTTTTTGATCATGCCTGCATCGATAATGCTTAAATTGATCATGCCTTCTTCGAGTGATAAGATAGACCGATGCAAAAGCTGACGCGACGGTTCAAACTTTATGGTGCTTTTTGTCGTGATCTTATCACGGGTGTATGTTTCACATCTATAAATTTTCGCAAGAATGGCCTACTCTCCGTTAAACATAATATTTAAGATTACGTTTTATAAAGGGGGCTTTTACAAAAATCGAACCTTTGCTTCTTTGGTCTCGAGTTCCCCGCACCGCAAATAGCCCTGGATCAGATGAAGATAGCATCTGAAAGCTCTATTTAGATGCCTTGAGAAAGGACGCGCCGATAATGAATTAGTCTGATAGATATTAGGTGTAACTTATGTTAGTCGGATCTACCTTTCACGTTCTGAACAAATGGACGCAAACGATTAATGAAAAAAAAAGGTCTACGTTCGTAGAGAACAAGTAGTAACGAAAAGCCATCTCTAGTGGTCTCTATCGGTTAAATTGTTGCCAGTCTATAACGTGAGGCAAAATGCAGTGATCCGCAGAGCAAGGAGCCCGTTTGTCTCAAAATGCTTTTCTGCTTAAACAAACAAAATAGTCAATTTCGTACATTTGTCAGGGCAAGAACCTCTTTACTATAAATTGATTATACCATAGCTTGTCGGCGGGAACCGCATCCGATTTTATAAACATTGTGACAATTGTTTTTCGCATAAAATTTGACAAAAATTCTAATATCGGCAATCGGTCACATTTTAATGTTCAGGTACTGTGTGGACAGGAAATAAATCAGCCGATAAAATGTTAGTAGTAAGTTATTCATTCTTAGTATAGAGGATAAGATTTAGAAAGTAGCTAGCTCTCCTTTAAAATCAACTTTTTGAGAACTAGGGTTGATACAAAAGAAGCACCTAAACCTCTATGAAGAAGCCAAAGTGATTTTGCTATCAACGACCTATCGTCCATGGTGCAAAACAGAGTGTATCGATACTCGAAGTAACTGGTGCTAGGAACCTAAATGATGATCAGACCCAGAGTGGGCATTACAGCCCGAATCACCCGGTGGCTGCCACACCCAACCTACGACCACGGAAATAGTTACCAGCGGCAGAAGCAGTGGCGATCCGAATTAAAGCAAATGCTTCGTTGTCTTTTTCTTTTTAATCTCAAATGAAGAAAACCTGATTAAAGGCACTATGGCGAATTGAACTGATCGAACTTACATTAAAACTTCAACTTTGTCTCGATAGTTAATTACACCTTGTTAATCTGATCAACTGTATATACGATTAATGATAGTTTTGTAAGCGTAAACTCTGGAATCACCAACGCTAGAATCAAACTGTAAATATTGACTGTAGTTATCCGGATCAAGCTACAGCAGCGCTATGGAGAATCAAGAAGTTAATTCAGTTAAGAAAACTTTGATAACCAAAATACCTTGAATGAAGCACAATAACTTAGCCAAAAAGTTGTAGTTATTCAACAAAATGAGGACAAGATGGCTAAATTTAACGTAGATCCTAGTAAATTTCGGGAACGCCATCAATTATTCGATTCGTATACACTAAGCAAAAAGCATCTCAAGCCAATTTAAACGTTGATCCGCTTTCAACAGAGCCTAGTCGTAGCTTGAGACACTGTACAACATCGAGGTGGACACAGCCGACATAGCCTTAGAGCTCATTAGGAGAAAAAATCGGCCGAAGAAGAGCATATCAAACAGCTTCAGAAACTGTATGACTACCCTAACCTAAATTGGCCAGACTGTATATACCTATATTGAGCCAAAGTACTCAAACTCTAGCAGCGCTAGGTCGTTCACAAGAAGTAGTTTTTTACCTTTATCATATTCTACGACACTGACCTGTCTAAAAACGTTTTAGAGGGAAGCTTGGATGGGTAGTGAAAGACAAGGATATGTTAACTCAATCTAAAACACCTATATTGACTATGTGTTCTGTTAGAATTCTGTTAATAGAATTTGCAGATGTGAAACGTGAAATTGGCTATAGCCGTAGTAGTAATAAATAGCATGGTTAGGTCACCACAATGTTACGCAGCTATCGTATAGTGAGGGGACCCAATCAAGTGAATCCCTAAGGGATCAAGACTATTAACCGAGTAGGCAATTTTTCCGCTTCTCTCCGCGCATAACCATAATATATGTACGTAACAAATATGATAAGGCGTGTCTATAGTTAGACACAATCAATTCATCCAGTGACTAAAAACAACTCATCTTCTAACAATTGTTGGGCTAAGGTAAGACTAGCAAAATGCAATATGGCATTGCAATGTGTCCTAAACGTGTTAATTTAAGCATGCTTGTCCCTACGTTTGGCAAAAGCAATTGTCACTATGATGAAAATAACTTCAAAAATTCAATTTGCCCTAGGATTGGGAAAGACTTGCGGGGTCATGCTCGATATAGGGAAACAGAGCTCAACATCTCCCGTTCGTAAATGAACTTCAAATCAATAGACGATTCAGTTCATTGCTAACGATATGTTTAAGGTAACGTATGTCAAATAGATCCACATTTACGCTTCGTTAGCCGTCAAATATTGGGAAGTTCCAGGAAGGCCTCCAGGTATTCCTCAGTTTATCGCTTCGCGCCCGTCACTGGTTATAGTGAGAGCTGATATACGTTCTGATCCGTATGGGTTTCATGTCACCGTTCCGTATCGATGACGATCAGCCAAAAGGGAACAGAGTCGCAACAAGGATGTCCTTTGAATGGATACTTTATGGTGTCTGCGCTAGGTCGCTGTTCTAGCTAACTACACAACGTTGCTATGATGATTCCACGGAAGTAGTCTGTGGGCGTAATTTTCAGTCCGGCTGAATAGAATAGAATAGAATGCTGAAGTTATAAGTGTATCTCCAGTCAAAAAAAACAAATCAGTAAAAACAACGAATTTAGAAATGTTCGATTTCAAGATTACCTCCAGGCCATTGTGTGGTGAGCCTTCCGTTTGAGGGGAAGTACTAGTCTTTTAGCTGACAACCAACATACTCGCCTGAACATGTTTTTTTTCCGCCACAGGTGAAAACAGGGTGGGCAATATGCAGAAACATATAGAGAGGAGATTTACTCATGCAGCTATTCCAGGAAGCACTGTTTACCTATTTAGGTAGCTGCCGAAGAGTCAAGCGCCTCTTGCGATCTGAGAACGCGCGGTGATTAGGCTTCAATACGAATCTGCCTTAAGCGACGTTTTACATAGAGAAAATAAATTACGTTCTCAAATAACGAGAGTATTATTTCGCTTTCGGAAACAGAAGATTAAAATCGTCTCTGATGTAAAGGTAAGCACCTTCCTTCGCAGTTTCTCATTAAGATGGTTCACTGCACTTTTTCCAAATGCTCTTAGCCACTAGATAGTTTGAGAAATTTCGACATGGAGATCTTTAAATTTTGGAAACGGCTCAAAGTTTAGCCCGCCTATATCCATGGTCGAGGCATAGGGTCTCACTTGAAGAATAAGATCTCAAACTATTCGCGGCAGGCAAAATACACCCGCGAAACTATTGATCATGTCGCTGTGTTGTTGATATTGTCGGTGGTACGAACAACAACAGAGTGTTCTAATGATTGAAATATGGTCTACTAATTCATCGGAATGAGCGGACCGTATCCAAGAGCTAGCAGCGTGTAGCGGTTCCTTATAATGATATGATACCCGCTGGGTGCTCAATAGGACCAGGCACCTGGTTCCATCGAGGTCCTTGTGGACAATTGCGCTGACAGAAACGTCTAACGGTACTTGAGGTATCTGCTAATATCTCTCGTCCCGATTAGCTTGCTATCGCTATCGCCCCTTAACCGTACCCTAGTACGGTTAAGGGGCAACAGTTTCGTTCCGATAACTGTAGCAATACCGACCAATTCAAATATCTCTTTGAATAGTAGCAGCCTGGACTGTTTTGATGAATTTATCACTCACCTTTATTCCACCAAGTTCATATGTCTATTGACAGTGCACTTGATGATACTTATATGTGCACACGGTGTTTTCAGCTGAGCAATTTTGCTTCTTCAGCATAAATTCGGCCCCTACTCGTGTAAACTATTCGAAGATGGCCAATCGTGTCGATTCTGTTATCGTTCGCAAACACACAGGTGCGCATGCTTACAGCCAATGGCACAATTCACCGCCTAGGACTTTTCGCTGCCGTTGCACGATACACATGATTAAAAGTGAACTTGAGTAAAATATTCACAAAATAGCACTTTACTCTGACTTCTCTTGGATTCGCGACGCACCTACCCGTTGGAAAACGTTTGTAGCCAACAGAATAGGCGAAAGCTGGCAATTATCAGCTCCGTCTGATTGGCGATAAGCAACGCGAAGCAAAAACCAGCCGGATCTGCTCAGCCGGCATGTATCCCTTGAACGCAGATCGTCTTCTAACATGCTATCCACATTATGTGTTAACAGCGCACAGCACATATACGAACAAGCTTTCGTCATAAATAAAATTCATCGACATACGTAATGGGTTCCATTGGCAAGAAGCCCAACACCATTATCATACCGTTCGTCTCGGAAGTCACGAACGCGTACGAGACTCTTGATTTCTTTTTGCCCTTTCTGAATATCTAGAGCACGTGCTTTCAGGCTGAACCAGACACCCATGTGAACACAATTCAAAGAGAGATCGCCTTTATCAATACACTTCCTTTGTGGACGAAACAGATGCCACTGCGGTTCACGTTTAAAAAAAAAGCGGAACGTTTGTTTGTCAACGAGCGCTATCGTGCCTGATCACCAGGCGACGATACATCGGTACGTTTCAGTCAAACAAAAGCTTGCATTACATTACATTTCATCAGACAGCGATCCTCCATGCTCTAAGCACATAAGACAACTTTAAGGGTAATGGCGGACTGCAGGATATGTCTTAAGGTTAAGGTGAAACTAACCGTTGAACGAATCCCTTTACAAGCAGTGCTTTGAACTAAAAAGAATCACCTGTTACTCACAGGTTGTGCAAGAATGATCGGGTGCCAAGCTACGCCGCTTTATTCGCGATTAGTGTTATGGACGGCCCATCTTAAGTTGTCCTCACGTTTTGCATAACTATTCGTATTTGGAACATTTTCAGTTAGGCTCCCAAGGGCAACTAAGTTACAGTTCTGATAATGGGGAAACGCCTAACTACACTGCCAAGAATATGCAATTAATTTTTCCGCACAGAGATTTCTAGATTGGATTGGCCAAATCCGCGATAAATTGCGAACCTATCACAGAAAAAAAAAACATGTGGATAACTTGATTTTACAGACGATTCACTTTGTCAATTTCAGATGGGTTCTTGGATGACATATTTTTCGTTTTAGAGGATTACAAGATTGTTCTCTTACGTCTCGAGGCCATGATCAATAGCCGACCTCTGTCGACTGCTGGAAGCGCTATAAACTTGTTCTGTATCCCCCAGATATTCCGTTCGGCCATATACTGAAAGTGTCTCCATTGTGAACTAGCAAAATGTCATTCTGATAGCTCGGTGATTATGCTGGCTAAAAAAGTGGTACCGCTAACAACCGATCCGAAATTCTGAAAACGACTTAAAAGCAATCATCTACATTCTGCTCATGTACAGAAGTCTGAACGAGCCCGTCCGTCTCACGCCGAAGGTATCGGGCTACTCGAAGCTTCCTCGGCAAATCGTGTTTACTAGTTTTTGTGTCATGTTATATGTGTACACACGAGGGAAGAACACACCCCCCGAAGCTGGTCTTGCTTAACGGGAGTGGCTACCTATTGCATTCTAGAGCGTACTAACTGAACCGTTTACTCATTTAAATATGTGGAGAAGCGTGGATCTCGTTATGGACAAGGAAGCCATCAGCACTTAGTATTATTATGCCTAAACAGTTACCTTGGCACATGATGGGTTTGTGTTTCAGTCTTCAATATATGACACAGTGCAGAGTTCGCTGTGCTAATCGCGCTGATGTAATATTGTGGTGTTCAATCTCTTGAGTGTCCTCGGAATTTCAGCGATTGTGATGAACGGGAACCGTCGGTTCTATACCGAACCTTCAACTTCGTCTCAATAACCAGTTAATTTTCGTTAATCTGATCGCATGCATCTGTACTCAATGATAACGTAGGAACATGAAATCGGCAGAAATAAGCGAGAGACGAAGCGCCCGTCGGTGGAAAGCCCGTTATTCACGAGAGATCATCATTCTGACACGCAGCAGAACCGCTCTCAATCCGAAGCGTAGTCACTCAGAGACGCTACCTCCGTCTTGCACCTCACCCATCCGAGCCACTAAAGAAAGAATTATTAGGTGTTATTCATTGGATAAATGGACAGTAGGTAGTGTGCGTTTGCAGACCCAATATAAAAAATTTTATAATTGTTCAAAGCTTACGAGTCATATGGTTAGGTCGCGCTACAAGTTTCCACAAAGAACCAAAAACGTTTCCACAGTGAATACGCGGTTCATGGCTAGGCAATGCAGTCTAGGTAGCAGTATGTGTTCAGAGCCTATAGAAAGAGCACGGTTGCTTTCCAAGCTACCAGAATATCTGGCCGGAATAGCGGTAAGTATATTACACATAACAGTTACTCTTCGATAAGCTAATACAACGATCTCCTTAGTCCAACGGCAGTACCGTAACTTCCGATGTTTTATTATATCCAACGATCGGCACTGGGCTGCTCCAAATTATCAGATAATTATTGTATGAGCGTAAATAAACCAGGTATAAATATAAATATATACCGGTATCGAATTCGCAATAAAGACCCGAAGTTCTGATAAAAGTCAACACGCTAGCAAAAAACTTCTATTCGGTGTGGATAGCCAGTGTCTCGCATTGCTATAAACAACGAGGTTGACGAAAAACCCATAAGAAATTTAACTTGCCAATGTTATAAACCAGGCAAGGTAGATAATGGAGGAAATACTCTACAACAGGCTCCCGATCAAAATTTTAACTTCGTCTGATCAACTTCTTCTGTATAGATGAGGTGCGAGAATAACCCAGTTTGCTTAATTATGGATCACATGAAAACCGCTGGGGAATTTGAACATACATGGCATCCTTAAATTAAATGGAAAATCGATCGTATTTATGTATGTAATAAGCTAATAATTCACTATAAAGAACGCTGAAAGGTATACGCGGCCGGCATCGCAGTGATTGTTTGACCTGTAGAATCTGGCTATTTCGTTCGTTCAACGACATAATCTTTTCGTACCACATTACAAAAAAGGAATTGCGGCGATGTCTACCTCAGGGAGTCCCCGACCTTTTCTGGTCGGTAGCGTTCCCGGCTATTTGAGTTCAACATAGCCCCAGTGGCTGTTTATGACCAAGAGACCATATGAGAAAATCCCTTTCTTGCAGACTTGAAGCAAGTAAATGAACTTAAAGATAGCCTATCCTAAGCGTACTTTCAGTCTCCACTTTCCGGTAAAGAACCGACCCGTTTTTGGATCCTCGTTGGGAGGCCCTTGTTTACCAAGGGCTTAAAATGACGTTTCAACCCACCGCTTACGTTTGCCGTTGTCACTTGGGAGGGCAAATTCGCAGGGATAGATGTGCGATTCTATATATCTACACCTATGTTAAACCTTGCATAGGTGTCAGTGAAGCGGCCAAATCGTCATTTTGTAAATAATAATGAAATGCATGACTTTACCAGAAGCTATATACCACAGCGAATTCTCATGAACCAAATAGATTGTGCATATATGAAAGATACGAAAAGTAGCATGGTGTCAAACACCATGCCTCTCGATGTCCGCTCTGGGTTTTGTTATGTTTATAACATTTGATAGGCGAAATAGTAGAGCGTGTTAATCATGTTTCAAAGATTACTTCAACTTGTTAATTATTTTCGTAGTTTTGCAAGATATAACATCTACGATATCTATATTCATGAGAAAGCCTTTATTATCTGTTATGGCTATAAGGCCACTTATAACATTGTTACAGCGTTTATATCCGCCTTATGTTACGTAAAAGCTAAATTTAACGGACAATTTCTCTCGACGGTGGTTAATATAATAATTATCAGAACTCAGGTATGTGCAGCAGCCGCTTCCTTTTACGTAGTAGCACCAAGATTCATGAATTTATTCATTGATTTTCTGCGCATGTTACGCGTATTACGCGGCTACTTTCCAACACCACTTCGTCACTCACCCCACTCAAACCCCAAGCAAGTTCATACCTCATTGACCCGCAATCGTACTCGTTATAGTTATTACCTTATCATTAGTTTATCCTGTTGTGTATGGGTTTGTTGAGGAAGCACCAAACATGTCTCGGCAAGACTCAGCCCGGTGAATTTAGACAGCGGGAGCGGGCTTTTTATGCAAAAGATGATTCCGAAGACTTGTTCAACACGGTATATAAAGTAGCCAAAGATGGTAAATAAAACAATAACCTGAATATGTACGTTAACTATGCAACCAAGCAGTAAATCATTGGGCTGGGCCTAATGACTTACTTCTGGAGCCGCTGAATCCTATCTGCGGTTATGCTGACATACAAACGCCATAGCTTCTCATAGCTCATGACAACTGATTGGTCCACTGTGGAAATAAATCGGAAATTCGGAAGTTCGATTGTTAACAAAGTTTATGTACCCAAAACAAATTTGCTAAATTCATTAGAATACCTGATATATATATATATATATATCAGGTTGATTAGGGTGCATGGGAGGACAGATACTATCGTTCTGGCCCGAAAAAATTGCGACCCGTACTTCCGCGGGGAGTCGAGACTTCAGTATGTTTTAATCGTTATCATGATTATTTAACTGCACAAAAAATTGTCCGTTATTTAGATTATAGCATGTGCGTATGTACGCGACTGCGGTATGTGCCAGTTCGCGGGGGAAAGCTGTAAAAGTAAGTTCTGTTCTGCTTTATAGACAATGGATAAGCAAATTCGCATTCTCAAAAAAAAAACAGCATAGATCTTATTGGGCAGAACAAACAGCTAATATCACTACGAGTACTACCGCCATAATAGAGTATACGTCAGGACGAAGAAAGGTTTTATTGCCTGATTCCGCGAACCCATGCAGGACATCCTTGATCACTTCGGTAGCCAAATTTCGTTCGACACGCGCACGAGGAGATGGCAAGAGGACCTAGAGAGCACAGCGTGAAGTTCACTTCACTGGGAATTGGAGGATATCACTTTTAAACTAAGGATATGAGATTTTTACGACACTAATACGATTATACGTACGCAGCAGAACAAATAGCTGCGAGATGCTCGTTCTTGCCAACCAACGACAAACCAAATCTAGTCCGCTTCACTATATGCATATAGATTACTACATGCAATAATGAATTTACACTTAGATACTTTTGCCGGTACCTATATCTAATGGGCACTGTTGGTAGAATAAGTTGCATTTGGCCGATAGTTAATGTGTGATGACTAGATTTTGTGGGCAGGCCATATGACGAAGTAGTCGGCGACGATGTCAAGAGCTGCTGTGAAATAGATCACTTCACCGCCGGACCTGCCCACTTCTATCTATTTGAGACACAGATAGTTGACCCTGACAAGAGTTTGGGCAAAGCAACAAACCTCATCAGCGCCTGCTCAAGCATACTCATGGACATCTGTCGAAACAAGCAAAGCACTAATTCAGGTCATATTTGCGAAAGACAAAGTAGTATTTGCGGGCAAGCAGGAACGTCAAGGTTTTGTTATTCCAGTGAAGATAAAAACTTCCGTTGGAAAGCATTTAAGGAGTTCGGAGACATAAAGGAACACTGC